GCTGGATGAATATAGAGAAAGGAAAGAATGAAATAGAATTTTATGTTTTTAATAATTTATGAAAAGTCATTTACATTTTTTTTTTCTAAAAATGAAAAAACAGACTCCAGCACTGTTATATTTTAGGTTCTCCAGAGCTTAGTTTAGCTTCTTAGCTTAGCTGCCAACAGCTAAAATGATTTCCTAGCTTAGTTTTCTGTTGAGGCAGAGAGAAGCCGCGCAGGCACAGAAGCATTAATGGTAGGGATGGCCCATATTGACTTAAACTAAACTGCTGTAATGTCAGGACTATAATTTTTTTTTTTTTACTTTCACTGATGGAAACGTAGCTTCAAATTAGCTGTCATGCTAAAATATGTTATCCAATGAGGAAAAATATATAATATAACGACCGAAACAACACATTTATTAAAGTTCTTTCAACCCAAAATCTGCGACGGTTTTCAGTAGAACGTATGTTTTCTACCTCATTTATTCCAGTTTTTTTTCCTCCTCCTGTTCAGTTTTCCCTAAAACGAACCAGTGAATGTAATCACATCATTTGCACAGTGTCTCACTCTCATCATCAGGTAACGCAGTAACAGCAGCAGCACGGAGGATGCTCAGATGTTTTCTCACTCTCTGACACACACACACACACACACACACAAGGCCGCCGCGCAGGACCAGGGACACCTTGTTTTCCTAGCACCAACAAAAGAGAGCTTTTTGAAGCCGTACTGAGAGAGAGAGAGACAGAGAGAGAGAGAGAGAGAGAGAGAGAGATCTGGAGCTGTAATAACTTCAGGATGTCAGAAGGGGAAAAACCAGAATCTGGGAACTGAGCTGACGCAACACTGGAGGCTGTTGGAGGTGGAGGAGAAGGTGAAGCAGAAGGTGCAAAGAGGGTCAGAGGGAGGGAGGGAAGGAAGGAGGGAGAGAGAGAGAGAGGGAGGGAGCAGAGAAGCAGCTAGAGTCCCATCAGCCACTGCTGTCACAGCCACACTCTCAGCTGCTGTCGCCGCTGATTGTGATTGCTGTTCAAACAAGGCCGACAGCTGCCACAAACATCTCCTGCTTAATATGACACACATGAACGCTCACCTGCAGACACACACACACTCACACACACACACTCACACACACACACTCACACACACACTCACGCGCTCGCTCGCGCTGGTATCACTCAGATGTCACTCGGTGCCGTCCCGTTTTATGGCACCCTGTTATCTTTCTTTCTCGTCTTTGCGCCGTGATAAGAGCGCGGCGGCCGCTGCTGTGATTGCCCTCTGCTCCTGCTAAAGTGTGACAGCTCAGTCACTCATCAAATCAACATGCCC